GTGAATTCTACAATTTAATTACTAGTTGAATAAAGAACAATTTTATTTTTGACTATTCCGAAGCTATTGCCCATCAGCTTCATTAGATGAATTCTAGTTCTAATGGTATGGGAGAAGAAGATCTATCCACTTTCTCCATCCCATTAATATTTTTGTAAATCCCTATCATGTGCTTGCCCCCCTTAGTTGTCTTTTTTATAAGCTGAAACATCCCAGACACTTCACATTCTCCTCAGAGGAAAGATGAACTAACCCCTTAATCATCTTGGTTGCCCTCTTCTGTAGCTTTTCTAGCTTTCAAATATCTTGCAATATCCTGATTTTTTTCTTCAGCAAAACTGAAGCTTTATGTTTTGACTCTTCCCAAAAAATATGGCACAGCAAACAGTGAAAAAATAATTTCCTAAAAACAATTACTGGATGTGTTGATAACAGTTATTCTGTATCTCTGCCATTGGTGAGCTTTTTCAGATTTGTTGTTCAGTCGCACAGTCGAGTCCAACTCTTCGCGACCCCATGGACCACATCACGCCAGGCCCTCCTGTCCTCCGTCATTTGCTCAACTTCATGTTTGTTGCATCAATAACACTGTCCAGCCATCTCATCCTTTGTCGTCCCCTTCTTCTACATTCATCTTTCCCAGCGTCAAGGTCATCTCCAGTGAGTGATCCCCTCATTTGGTGACCAAAGTATCTGAACTTCAGCTTCAGTATCTGGCCTTCCCTTGAACCAATTTGGATAAGTGGCATCAATAAATAAAAAAGTTCTGGCTTGGAACTCAAAACAGCTTGACTTTTCACACTGCCCCAGCAATAGCACACATCTGATCACAAAATTTGCCCTTTCCCCAACACCCAGAGACTGATGCAGAACTAGATTGGCATATCACTCAGAGAATCTTGTACATACATGGTGCCACCTTATTTTCCTGTCTTGAAACTAATAGCAGTGTTTACAATCTATGGGAAGTGTAAAGTAAAAAAGGCCCTTTAGTAGGACCAGCACCCAGTGGCTGCCATTAAAGTTACTGTCTGCTCTGATAGGGTTCCGGCTAAGCTTGACCTAACTCAGTGCTATCAGCAGTTGCAAGTGGATGACAATGTTACTTATTGATGCCGAAACAATGTCAACACATCAGTGACCCTTTTATAGCAAGCACCTCAAATTTGGAATTTTTGTTGAATCTTCCTGTGGTTTCTGGAAACACTGCTAGCAGAAATCCCTGGGATTGTTCCATAACTGGATAATGTATTTACTAATCATGTGGTCCATTTGAAGAACAATACGTAGTGTAATATTAAGCAAAGTTATATCCTCAGGACTCAGGAGTGTAATAATACTGTTAGCTTTTAAGATGCCACTGGACTTTTCATTTATTTTGCTACAACAGACTGATATAGATACTCCTTTGCAATTAGGACTGCATTTTTATAGACTTCTACAAAAGTTTATCAGGAGGAATTCAGAAAAAGCAATATCATCTTGGAGCTTCCACTGTCACTTTTGTGAAATACCAAATATATCTATCTGACACTCATCCAATGAATAAAACCTGATACCTCACGGCCACCCCCAGAACCCCAGGAGTGGACAACGTGGGAAGCCCAAGTGGAAGCTCAGCTGAGATGATGGAGTGCACAGTTAGAATATAAGAAGAGCCCTGCTGGATCAGACCAATGGTTCATCTAGTCCAGCATCCTGTCTCACACAGTGGCCAACCAGTTTCTCTGGATGGCCAACAACAGGGCAGTGTGGATTCTAATCTGGGAGAACCGTGTTTGATTCCCTGCTCCTACACATGCAGCTGCTGGTGTGACCTTGGGTCAGTTACAAGTTCTTTCAGAGCTGTTCTTTCAAGAGCAGTCCTCGAAAGAGCTCTCTCAGCCCCATCTACCTCAAAGGGTGTGTTGTGGGGAGGGAAAGAGAAAGGAGATTGTAAGCCACTCTGAGACTCCTTCTTGTAGTGAAGGGTGGGGTATAAATCCAATCTCTTCTTCTAGAGGCTGAGGCCTTCCCCTGATGTTGCTTCCTGGGCTGACTCTGGGATTCAGAGGTTTAGCGCCTCTGAATGTAAAGGCTCCCACCAGTCACCATGGCTAGTAGCCATTGATAGACTTCCCCATGAATCTATCTAACCCCCTCTTAAAGCTGTTTATTCCTGTGGCCATCACTACATCCTCTGGCAGCAAATTCCACAATTGGCAGCCCGAGGTCTCTCCTCTGCCCACAAGGAAATAGAAGACCAAGCTCCTCTGTGAGGCTTCACAGAATGCTGGGCAGAGTTCTCTGCAAATACCCCCGGACTGCTGTAGGCCACTCCTACAGCTGCAGGCACTAGCTCCTAGAAGTAGCCTCAGTGCAGCTCTGACTATTGTGGGATGAACATTTCTGTGAAATAGTGTTTGCTGTCCCAATGTGCCTTGATTTTGTGTGTGCCCATTTGACTCTGGCCATGGAGGCTTCTGTCTGGTCCTGATCTCTCCATGCAAGCAGACATATTCAGTGTTTTAAACTAGCTTCTTGAAAGATAAAGCCAGTTTTGCAGAAACTCTTAATCAGTTGCTTGATGAAGGAAGTGGACTTAGTAGCATGATAAAGACTTTCTCAGCAACAAGAAGCTACTGAACTCTCATTCAGTAAGCACAAATAGTAGAAACAGAAGTAGCAACAGATAGTGCAAAAACAACTAAGAAGCAAAAGAGATAAGTGTCATAACTTGTGGCCTAAAAACGAGTAAACTTTACATAATCTTTAGCAGTGTGGTGGGGAATTCTGTAAGTGGGATGCTGCCCCAGGAGAGACCTGTACACAGTTATAGCACAGTTAATCTCTGGAAGCAGGGGCAGCCAAAATAGGACAAGGCCTCTCAAGATATTTTAAAGTGTTCAGGTTGAGATGAAAGCAGGACAGCCATCCTTCAGGTACTCCCATCACAAGTCATTTAGGGATTAAAAAACCCTCACATACTTGCAATAGAAAAGACTGGAACAGACAGTTGTGAATTTTATTCTAAAAAGAGAGGCAATGGAATGCAAGGCATAATTTTCACAAGATCCATGAGCATATTATTCTGTCCACAGAAACCAAGACAATTCAGGTTAGGATATCATAATTGTGATTTATATACATTTTCAATGTCACACAAAAGAACAAGGGAACAAATGATAGGCAAATGAGTAGTCGGTATGATTTACTAGTAGCTTCTGTTTTATCCCTGAATGAGGGAATCCCAGCCAGGGTGCCAAATTACATATGTAGGTTTGATTGCCCACTCTTGCCATGCTCACTTGGCAATCCCAACCTACCTCATACAGTTGTTGTTGCAAGTATAAAATAGAGGAGGGGAGAATAACGATGTATGTCCGTTTGGTTCCCCACTGGGGAAAAAGTAGGGTACAATATCTAAATAAATAAACCCACTGCTCTGTCAGTAAGCACACCTTGGGCAAGTGGCCAGACATAGTGGAGGCGAAAAAAGAGTGTATGTTCTTGGGGGGGGGGGGGCTTCTCTGTCAGGATGAAAACCAAGCATGGTATTTCTATAAATAATTAGATCTATTTGCACAAGGTAGCTTGTTTCCTAGGGCTTTTTACACATTGAAGATTTCAGATTTGGCCAGTGTAATACTTGGAAGGGCACGATCATAAAGCCATATTAAACTAGCAATTATGTATGTACACTGATCATAGAAGAGAGAACTACCACTAGTGCTTCTTCTGTTGAGCTTAACAGCCTGCATAGCTGAAAGTAGAACACTGTGCAATCAAAATATATAGCAGAGTTTCTAAACTGGCAGCACAGCAGCTGTGGCAGGTGCTAGCACAAGCCAGTGGTCAAGGAATTCATTCCTCATTGGCATTTCGACTCTAAAAGCTTTCTGAAAGGAAATAACTTCAGTTTTCTTGCTGCTTTAGTATTCAAATACAATATTGTAAGTGATAAACAGATACTAAATGAAATATAAATGAAGGTACTCTGAAGCGGAGGTCTAAAATCAGTTGTGATGCTACTCTGGTAACACCATGGGGGGGAACAAGGTATCCCAGGTGAATTTGCAGATTACAGCTTAATATGAACCCTGTTCTTAGAACAACAATTCAATTATAGTACTGTAACAAGTATCCCTATAATCTTTACAGACAAAAAATTCCCCCGGGGTGGGGGACTAGTGCTGGAAAAAAAGCACTTGTTTCATATAAAGATCAGAGAGATATTTTTGTTTTTGTGTTTTAAACAGATAATTCCATACAGTCGAACTTCCTCTTAAAATCAGCCTTATATAACCCCATAGCCTTCTTTTCCTGTAACCTTCAGCCTTCTGCTCATTTTGATTTCGAGACCTCTTTCTGTTTCTCATGTGTAGAGGATAGATTTCTATGCCTGTAGTAGTGGAAATCAAAACACATACAAAAACTGAACAAAAGCCAAGATCTTGGCTTCCAGTACTTTTATACCTGTAGTGGTAGAGACAGGTAAGGATGTGAGACCAACACACACACACACACACACACACACACACAAAAGCTTGTAAAAATGAAAAAGCCCAAGACAAGCGAAACACACAACATTTATTGTTTTGAGAACAACTGTTTTTAAGCCAATCTTACACATTTGGGGGGATCTTATTTCATATCTTCTAATATCTGATTTTAGTGATTATGGGAAGATTTATCAGTAAGGCAAGAGGATTAAAAAAAAATAAGGCTGTAATTCTATGCACATTTACCTGGAGGTAAGCTTCACTGTGCATAATGGATCTTATTTCAGAGTAATCATGTATTGGAATATGTTTAGATTGATTAAAATTTCTTTTAAATGTCAAAATTAAATCCATAATATCAATGATTTTATTTACTAGAAAAAAGTTAAACCTGCAGTATCCAGAGATGTGCACATATATGTTTGGTCCAAGATGACATTTTGTTATAATAAGGATATCTTCATTTGAAGCAGTAATACCAGCCACATAAACATCAATATAATTAAAAGCAAGGGCAGGAAAAGCACTTTGGTGTCTTGCATTTAAGAAAACAGATAAAAACATTAACATCAGAATAATATACAAAAAAATCCCAGCTACCAAATGTCTTTTGAAAAGTTTTTGGAAAGTCTTTCTGGTTATAGCTAAACAGCATTAAACAAATTGACTAGACAAAAGAATGACGTCTAGATTTGTTATCACATATTCTTTAATATGTTCCGTGACAAGCAATATCAAAGATGCCAACTCTCAAGCTCTATTATTATTATTACTGTGTTTGGAAACCAGGCAACTTTCAGCAACAACACATAGGAGGCATATTGTCATTTTAATTAAATATTAAAACATGAGCTGTGTACATTATTTTTCCCTAAAAAACACAGCAATTTCAAAAAGTTTTATTGTAAAATATTTTCATGAAATGAGTGAACCAGCAATACATGCATTTATGTGTCTCCCCCCTCTGAAAAAAAGTGACAGACAGATGGGAAGATGGACAGAACAAGTGAGGCTGGGGGGTGGGGAGGGATGTCAGGATGGAACGCAACATTGAACTCCATTTCCTATGTTTGGACAAGGAAAAAAGAAACCTCATACATTTCATATAATACTTAAAGTTTTCTATTTATGCTTCAATCTTGGAGAAAAATACTTTTTTCTATAATAAAATACACTTGTTTAAATGTAACTTCTCTTGCAGAAAATAATTTTGTAAACCGTTATTTTCAGGGGCATAATAGATAGTTTCATTTTCACATTCTCCCCTCTGCCCCGCCCCCTACCCTCCATAAATGGGACCTGTTATCTGACGTGGAAACAGGAGGGGGGGGGACGCAGAGCAGAGCCCACTCTGCAAACAGAAAGAAAAGTGCGCCTGGATGGGAGAGGGTAAAGATGTGTGGTGGATAGATAGTTGGTAGTTAAAGGTCACTTTCGCCATAGAGAGCTGTAGAGAAAGACATGTAGTCCAAGGCACCAGGCACAGAATCCAGCCCAGTGTAAGGTGCCATTCTAGCAATGCAATATTCAGCTTGGTCAGGAGGCAGTTCCCGCCGTAATTCATCCACAGTGATATAATTCTGCAAGAGAACACATGGATATTTAAATTGCAGGAGGCAGACACAATTCTGTGAATGTGAACAGTGGGGGGTTGTATACTAAATAACATCTTTATTGAGTAAATATTTTGTTACTTGATTGTTACCGTACAGTATTAGTGAACAGTACAGCTGAATAACTTTTTAAAAAACATCCAAATTTCAAGGCTTTCAGAAAACACAGCTGGATGAAACGTGAATGAAAACCACAAAATTGCAATCTATACATGAAGTTGTATGAAAGCATTTTAAAAAAGTGTTTATGTTTTATCACTTTCAGATAGCTAGCTGCTTTGGATTGTTGTTCCACTAACTATGACAAATTCCAGAGAGTAGCCTTGCAAGTCTGCTTCAACAAAACCAGATTGAGGAGCCTTGTTGCACTTTAAAGACCCACCAGATTTATAAACTTTCATACCATATGGACCTCTTTATCCAATACATTGGTTCTACTAGTCCACCAAAAGTTATACTACAATCTTGTCTAATTGAATACAATTGTTATTAGTGTTTTTATTGCTTTTATCTGTTTTATATGGGCTTTGCCCCTTGTAAGCCGCCCTGAGCCCGCTCTGTGGGGAGGGCGGGGTATAAATCTCAATCAATCAATCAATCAATCAATCTGTTATTTTATGTGCCGCAAGACTATTTTAGCTGTTTTCCCTACTGAATATATTTACTTGAAACTCATTCCAGCCATGTTCTGAAGAGAAACATTCCCTTCAAATTAAAAAAAAATAATCACAGGAATTAAACAATACAATTAAATGAATTCAGGTACAGCACAAGTGATATCAAGTATGGGTTTTTTTGCCAAATTCTGCCCAAGATAGAACTCAGGATGGACTTGGCGTGGTATGTGTGGATTTACCATATGTTCTGATAGTACATATGGTACTACCGTACTAGCATATGGTCTAGCCTTGGCACCTTGGTGGGCAGGGGGAGACCCAATCTCACTCATCCATCACTAACAGCATAGTGAATGAAAGATGCATATATTAAAAAGATCTGTGACATGCCTTGGATACATTTGTGCATGCACAATTTCTTCACTCATACTGCCCAAAGGTAGTTTGACTACTCATGGATATCTCCAGAGAGTAGCCATGTTAGCTTATTGTAGGAAAATAGAGCAGAAGTCCAATGGTACCTTACAGACTAACAACACTTATCCCAGCATGATCTTTCATGAGTCAGAGTTCAGTGAGCTGATTCACAAAAGCTTATGCTGGAATAAGTGTTGTTAGTCCATAAGGTGCCACTGAACTTCTGTTCCTAGTATTCCTGTGGATGTAACATGGCCAAGCAAATTGTGCACTGACAAAAGCATACGAACCCTGTATCAGTGTTGCAAAAGTCCACGATTCCATTGTACTAGCTTGACTCACTACTTTTACAGGTAGAATATTGGTGGAGATGGAACTCCCATGATTTTCTGGCACCTAATCTAGTGCTCAGCTATTTCCATGATATTACTCCACAAGGCTCTCATCAGCAAATAATACAAGGTTTTCAATTATTATTTGGCTGTGTAACTTTAGCAGCCATCATGAACTTGGGGAGGGGGACCATCCTAAAACCATAGTTTTTAAATGTATGACTTTAGCCAACCTGAAATCAAAGTTATCTTTGTCACAAGCCTGCATGTTGTCCATTCAAGTCTGAACTTACTTTATCTCCAGCCAGTATTTTGAAGGAGGCCATAACTTGATCAGCTGTATCAGTATCAGCCGTTTCTCGAGACATGAAGTCAATGAAGGCCTGGAACGTCACTACTCCTATGCGGTTGGGATCTACAATGCTCATGATTCGAGCAAACTCTGCTTCACCCTGGACAGTTAGACAAACCAAATATAAAGGATAAATTGAAAATTTGTTTCACTACATACATCATTCCTAAAATGCGACACACCAAGAACAAATTGACACTGTACATACTGATGAGAAACTTCAGCTTGCTCAAAGTGCTGCTGCTCATCTATTTGATGTGAGTGTTCTAGAAGCTGCACTGTGGCTGCCTATGTTTCCAGGCATAATGTAAGGTGCTTATTGTAACCTTTAAAGCCCTATGTGGAGAAATGCATTGTAATTTGAAGGTTTGGTCTGTACAACCCCCCTGTCTTTCATGTCAAAAACAATTTCTCTCTCTTAGCAGAGAACAGCCAGGAGAAATCAATTGCTCTCAAGCCTCAACTGGGAGTGCTTTAGAAATGCTAATGGCCTCCCTGGCTGGAGACACTGAAATGGTCAGCTCACACCTCTAGGTAGAAACCAACATCTCGAGGGGAAAGAGATTTGGGAGGAGAAAGAGGCTAGAGTATATCTTCCTGAAGATTTCAGGAAAGGTTTATTTGACCCACAGGGGAGTGGGCAAATGGAGATAATAAAGCCCCTTGGCATGGGGGGAGTTCTCTTTGGT